AAGCTTCTTCCTGTACCCCTTGAGTTCTGCTCTGAAAGCATCACCCACCCACCCAAGGAGCGGCCAGAGTCTCTGAGTCATACTGGTTCTCACTGTCCTATTCTTGGCTACCCTTCACTCTTCATCAGAGTCATGGGAGCAGCTGACCCCAGAGTCCAGCATGCCAGCAGACTCAAGGCCCACTTCCAGGACGCAGGACCTCAGGGTCTTTTCCTCAAGTGGGACTACGCTGTCCTTTCTGCTCTATGTCATCTCCTTCCATGTTTATGTGGGTTCCAGGGATCAAACTTAGGTCATTAAACTAGTATGGCAAGTGCTTTACTCCCGAGGATGACTGAACATCTGATCCTCCTGCCTCCACCTCCCAAATGCTGGGGTTACAGGCATGCATTCCCATGCCCAGCTCCTTCTCCACTTCAGTCACACCTGACCCAGACCTTGGGTTCTTGTAGCTACAAGCCTTTATCCCTCATGACCTGCTAGATCTGACACACTATTCCTTCTGCCATTCCTGCATCCTCTGAGGATGACAGTTTGGCACATCTGGCAAAAGTAATCAGTGGCTGCCCATCATCCTATCTGTGACCTGGACTGGAGTCTTTTGTGCTAGGTATACCATCTTAGAGAGTGACTCTTTGGTTCTAGGCAGCATCAGGACCAAAGGGTAGGCTTTCCAGCTCTGCAGGGATATCAGTGAAAGCCAAGCAGCAGCCTCTCCCCTGGTGTCTATGGCCTGTCTGGCTCTCATCCCATGCTTCCCCCAGACAGGAAATGCAACAGTCCCACAGATCACAGCCTCATGATGTCTCTCTGGGCTCTGAGCATCTAGGACACAGTATGGAGGCCATCTCCTGCAAGAGTGTCTAAAAGGACAACCCACTTGACGGGGCTAGTCACAATACTCAGACTTATTTCTAGAAGTAACGTTCACCAGACCTGGAAGATTGGAGTTCTAGGTGAGTATACATCAAGGCATTAAAATATCAAAGTCCTTGACTCTGTGTTACCTTAGGAACTGAGTTGGGGCTGAAACACCCACTTTAGAAACTACTGACCTAGAGCCTATAGGAGCACCTCCCTCACCACCTCAGGAACCCCAGGTTACAGAGCAGCTTTTCAAGAAAATATTCATAGCGAAGAAATGCAGACTATTACAGAAGGGCTCTCAGGCACCCTAGTGTTTCATCTACACTGGCCCAGCACAGCACTTGCCTCGTACATGTGGCAGCATCCTGCTTCCAAGTCATTATCCCCACTGAGCCCTCACCACCCCTGACACACTACTACCCAGAACCCTTCCTCCTGCCCTTGGCATCACCTTAGATGCTGTATCCATGTGACCTTCAAAACAAGTACCCTAGACTTGGGCAGATGAAACACTAGGATGCCTGAGAGCCCTTCTGTAATAGTCTGTATTTCTTCACTATGAATATTTTCCTGAAAAGCTGCTCTGTAACCTGGGGTTCCTGAGGTGGTGAGGGAGGTGCTCCTGTAGGTTCGAGGTCAGTGGTTTCTAGAGTGGGTGTTTTGGCCAGGAGACTGGGAGCAGGGCCTCGGTAGACATTTGGGTTCCTAGGCTCCACCGCTCCTGAAACAAGCTGAAGGCTGAGGCCTCTGGGTGACTCTTCACATAGACTAGGTCTGAGGACTACGGCTCTGCTGTGGCCCTGCGAAGCAGCACAGCCTCTGTTCTCCCACAAGCCAGCCTCTTCCCAACATGACTGCATCTCTTGACTCCCCTCAGAAGCCCTATGGTCCCTGCAGCAGGCTTTCTCTCAGTGTCAAGTCACAGAGAAAGTCCTGACAGAATTCCCTACTCCCCAATGCTAGTTACATACTCAGCAAGGTGTCTGCTTACATCTCTGTCTGCAGTCTCGTGGAACAGGTACCTGTCTTGAGAAAATAACTCTTAGGCAAAGTGGGTGTTCTATGTTACACATTCCAGGTCACAGGAGAGCCTCAGAGCCCAGCCCTCAGGAGGCAGGAGCCAAACTCACTTTCTTCAAGGTCCTGTGATTAGAGGCTCTTTGCATTGACCTAAAGGTCCTAGGTCCTGCCTATCTGGACTCCGAGCCTGGCTGCCTCTGCAGGTTAGGCAGTATCCCTCTGGAGTCCTCTCTATCTCTAATGTGACAACCAGGGGCCAGTTCTATGCCCCTACCCCTCTAAGATGGGCAGTTTTTATCCAGAGAGGCAGGAAGGCGGCCATTGTGCTAAGTTGTAGAGTCAGCAAGAGAAACTCTTGTGGGGTAAAGTAGGCAAGAAGAGAAGGACAGCAGAAGGGTGGGAATAGGGGAGCAAGCCAGAGGAAACAGGACCAGTCCCAGGATGGACAGAGAGCCAGGATGCAGACCCTAGCCCAGCCAGTGATGCCCCAGAACCAGAAAATAGCCATTCTTCCAGGAGCACATCAAGGACGCCTGGCTGGACCACAGAGGACCGCTGCTCTTTGCCCTGGACTGCCTCTGGTGTGGACTTCCAGAACACCACTCCCAACTTGTGTTCCAAACCCCCTGAACATCTTCCTGCTGACTTCTTACAACCAGACTACCTGTGCCAGCTGAGAGAACAGCTGGGGAGTTTTCATACCGCTGGCCTGCAGAACTGCCCAGAAGTCTGGACCACAGTGTCTCATCTCAAGTGACCCCTAGAGACTGAGCATGCCCTGGCAGCATCTCTGGCCCATTATCTTCCTGGATAATTCCTTTGCTGAGCACCTGGAGTGTCCCTGGGGCTGGCTAATAGAGAAGGAATACACATGGAGCCCCACTGTCCCACAGAATTGTGGGTCAGAAGGACTTTCTAGAACCATAACAGTGTGGGAGCCCTTTGTCATAGGAATCTATCTTCACACAAGCTTCTCATGGGGCCTACTGAAAGCCAGAGACAGATTTGATGGCCATAACTGAGAGGAAGGAGGTACTCCTGGCATTTATCAGGTGGAGGCCAGGGATGCCTCCCACAGAGTCCAGGGCAGCCCCACACCACGAAGAATAAACAGTCTAAATGTCAACAGTGATGAGCTAGGAAAATTCAGGTCCAGAATCTGTCAAATTCTTGACCCTCTACATTTTAGGAAGAGGTGGTGGTCCAAGGCCTAGAGTGAACAAATTGTAGGCTCATTCCTGCTGGGAACCAAGGGTCAACAGGAAGGCCAAGAAGCCCCGAAGGGAGGGTTGGACAGCTGCCCCAACTCTCCGACCCTAACAGACAGGCCCTAGCACAATCCTCAGACCCTGGCCCCAAGCCCACTAAAGCTGACCACAAGGTAGACTCTATGGGCTTTCTGCTACTCCAACTCCACGTATGCTTCAGACTTTTGGCCCTATCCTTATGAGCCCTTAGACGGACAGATGGACAGACAGACAGAGAAACAGGCGCACAGACAAAGAGATGAGGCTACAGGGCTCCTGTGCCCTCTGGACTCACCTGTCCGGTGGCCTGACCCGAGCCGTCAGAGCACACAAACTGCACGAACTCCTTCAGCGAGTCCTGCCCATGGTGGTGGTGGTAGCGGATGGTTGGGTGTGTGAAATACGGGCTCGACTGCTGGATGATGGACGTGGAAGGGAAGTGCAGTGCTGATGCCGTGGCCCGGGGGCTCCCTGTGTGCACACAGGCAGGGGAGAGAAAAGATTGTGAGAACAGGCCCCTGACAAGGAAGACATGGTGATTGGTAGGAGGGTTGAGGATCCTGAGGAAGAGGCAAACCGGGCGGAAGCACTGTGTCGGGCACAAAATGCCTCAGTCATCTAAGTTTAAAAAAAAAAAATCAATGCAATAAAAGAAAAGAAAATAAACTGGCAGGCTAGTACCTGAGGGCCAGCTGCTTGCTTCTATAAATACTGTTTGATTGAAGCTGGCGTGGGGTTAGCTGAGGCAGGTGAACAGTGAGCTACCAGTGCAGGGTTGGGCTTATCTGTTTAAAATTGTTAGGATGTTGCTTTTCTGGTTGGTTTGTTTGTTGAGATAGAGCTTCTTACAGCCCAGGCCGAACCTGATGACCTTAAGCCCTGGACCCTCCTGTCCCCATTACCTAATCAAATGCCTTGACTGCAGGTACCTGTCTGGGTGCTTTTCTGTTGTTTGTTTTTGGATGTTGATTTTCTTTTGTTTTTGCAGTATGGAGTCTTGCGCTCCAGGCTCCCCATGTGCTAAGTGGAACTTTCTGCCATCGGCGCTTTGGTCCCAGCAAACTGTTAAAATGTTATTTGCTTTTTAAAAGCTTTTGCTTTTGTTTGTTTTCTGAGTCATACCCCTCAGATTCTTGATCCTCCTGCCTCAGCCTCCTGTGCGCTGGGATTTCACATGTTGGAATGGTCGTATGCTTTGCAACTGTTTTTATTATTTAGAAACAACATACTAATATGTTACTTATCCTCTGTTGAGTTTTTAGCATCCTTGACATTTTCCTTCTTTTACCCTCTGCAAACACCTCTCTTGTCCTGTCCTAGACGTAAGCCTGCCTGAAGAACTGACAACAGATTATCACCGCTCCCAAGTCTCTAGACAGACAGGCCCTGTGCAGGATCGGCACCCGGCACACAAAGGGCTCCAAATGTGTAAGCGGCTGCATAGGCCTCCTTCATGTGTTCGCCCTGTCGCTGTGAACTCACAGTTCCTACCCCTGTACAGGCCTCTGCTCTTCCTCAAGTTCTCCCCCTTCCTGTCTGTTTCCAATCAGCTCTCAGTTTCATTAGGGGGCTGAGGAAACTTGGCTTCTCTCTGGAGTTCATAAAAATGGAGTGCAGCAGGGTGGAGCCTGCCTCCCTCCTGCTGCCTGCACAAGGCCTGGGCTCCCTGCCCCCACCTTGTGGCCACCACGCCCTGCCCCAGTGCTGGCTGCCTCTGGGCTCTAAGCCAGGAGGCCCCAAGGAGGAAGCTGGGAGGTAAACCTCCCTGTCGTGTCCTACAGAAGAGAAGAGAGGAATGGCAGACACAAGAGGGCCATGTGCAAACAAAAGCCAGGCCTTTGCTGCCAGATGGGTGCTGCGGGAGGGGAGTAGCGCGTGCGTGCGGGAGAGCCAGGTTCCCGGGTATCCTGCCTGGCCCCACCCTCAGGAAGATCCAGCATCTTCTCTGGGCCTGAAGAGATGTGCCCTCAGACCAGCAAGGCAGTCCATTTCGTGGTGAGCCTTGTCCTTTTGGTCCAGCCCTTAACTTCTGGGAAAGGCAGGGAGGCCCAGATTAGGTGACAGTTTGCTCTAGGACAGACACCAGGAACCTGGACTGTTGAGCAGTGCGCTCTTTCTAATCCACAGGAGAGCAACTTGGCTAAACTACTTGCTAGTGGGGGAGAAGGAGGCTGCATGCAGCTCCCAGTGAGCATGTGCGAAACATGCACCCAACATAGACTTACGCAGCCAGAGTTAGCATGTGGGAGGGATTCTAGGAACCGAGTGGGCAAGCCTGGCTCTCAGAGGTACGCTGCCCATTCCATGCCACCCCACTGCCGTGCACGACCCACTTGGGGAGTCCAGATCTGTAATGAAGAGCGATCCCTGGCCCCCTGTTGTACCTGGCCAGCTGCCCCTTGCTGTGGCTGCCTCCCACAGTGTCCCCTTAGGCCCCGCCCCCATCTCTCACCTGGTCTGACTCCAGCAAGCACAGGCAGCGGGTGGTGGGTGAAAGCCATGCGTGGGGAACTGCCCTGAGAGGAGAGGGCGCTGCAGAAGTCCAGCTTTCCTGACTTCTTTAGAGAAGCAGGGCCTGGGGGGAGGAAGCAGCAACACGCGGGTTTAGCTGGCTGGGGTGGGAAGCCAGCAAAGCAGCCCGCTCCTTCTCTCCTCAGTGCCCAGCAGCCCTTCCTCCACCTCTGCCCTGCTCTGCTCCTCCTGGGGCCTGACCTCAGGGGTGCAATCTGGCTATGGTTGCTTCTGCAAAGAGGAAACTGGGCTCCTGGTAATGTGGGAGAGGATGCTGGGCAAGGGTGGCAAAGGAAGGTATCCTGCTCCTGATGGTCGGTCGATAAAGGAATTAAAAAGGGTGCAGGGCTAGCATCTAGGAAGGGATCGGTGAGGAGCCCACAGATGCCAGGTGGAGAGTCAGGAGTGACAGGCCATGAAAGGAGCCTTGGGTGGGACGCAGAGCTGTGACAAGGCACCCTGAGCCCTAGGATACTCTGGCCTGAAGAAATCAGTGCTCTCTTTCTGAAGAAAAGGAAAAAGGAAAGCATAGTTAGAGGCCCTCCAGAGCTGCAACAGGAGAACAAAGGCTGGAGCCAGAGCTGGGAGTATCCTGGGAACAGCTAGAGGGCAAGGGCTGCCCTGGCCACAGGTTTCAGACTGGGGCTCTTCTCTGCCCTGTTGTCAATGGCAAGCATGGTATTCAGCCAGAGAAAGTGGTACAAAAAGACCCTAACTGGGCTTTGCCTTTGACAGTCGGAGGTTGCAAGCCGACATCATCTCTGTGCAGTATGCACAGATCCAGGTGACAGGCTGTCAGACGGCTCCCAGGGGCATATTCTTTTGGTATCTCTCATCCTGGTCTGAGCCTCAAGGCCATGCCCAGACTGACCAGGCAAGGTGGAGGTGAGGCAGGCTTGGAGCTCCGATATTTGAGGGATAAATCTAGTTGGTTTTGATGGGAAAAGGGGGGCTGCCGAAGAGAAACCCAGAGTTTCAACCACAGAGAGACGTGGCAGGGGGATGCAGGGGGAGGGCGAGCTCCCAGCGACCAGCAGAGGTGTTATCTGGCGGCAGCTGTGTACCACCTGATAGCTGGCATGGTGAGGAGGGGGGGTGCCCCACCAGCTGTGCACAGCTGTCCCTGCTGCTGCACAGTGCCTACCCAGCTGTTCCCATCCTACAGCTGGGCTGCTTAATTGGCGATTTGTCGCAGCCCAGGGAAACAACGACAAGTTGGGGGTAAGGGATCCTGGGGGTGCAGTGCATGGCAGGACTACCAGAAGCAGCAGAAAAGGCAGGCAGTAGAGCAGACAGAGGACAGCCTGCAGAAGCCTGGCGAGGAGGCTCATGGGAACATGGAATCACAGGCAGTCAGCGGGTCCTCAAAGTACCCTAGCAGCAGTCCTTGCAGATGTCACCTGCCCAAGGGCAAGCCTGACTGGGACCTGGCACACAGCAATCGCCAACCTTCTCAACTCCCACTCTATCTACCTCCAGAGATTCCCCTAGGGATGTGTGTAGGTCACACTGGCCCAGGCTCTGTCTGCCACAGGGAGATCCTGTGAGGGACCTCCAAGTCATGCTGGGTGGTGCTCTAGAGGGTGCCAAGTCCACTTCCTCAGCCCAAGACCAGGAGGTAAGCTTTGCTTGTCTTTGCATGGGAACCAGAGCCAAAGCCAGGGGCTGCACTGGCTCTCTCAGCCCGTTCTCCAGCAGACACCTGGCTCAAAAAATGAAGCCCGGTCCCCAGCCCCATCCAGAGTGTCCCCAGCTCCATCTGCACTGGGCAAGTTCTCTGCACATTGTACAATAGCAAGTCTGCACCTTCAGGTCCCAATGCCTCAAGGACACTCATAGCTTTTGGTGTGCACAAATTTGTCCCTCTGAGCTTCTAGGCTGCCCATATGACCAGCCTGTCCTGGAGCAGCCTGTGGCTGGGCTCAGCAGGAAGCCAAGCTTGGTCAGGACTGGGAAAGTCTAGGCGGCTTCCTCCAGGCTCTTCAGAATCTCTGCTCTTTTCCAGTTTCCCAAGACAGTTAGTTCTGCACGTCCACCCTCAGTTCTGAGCTTCTCTGTAAAGCTAGGTCCCAAGGCTAGGGTTAGCCTGTCTTAAATCTGTCTCCCTGAGGGCACCTGGCAATGTCTAAGAACATTTATAGTCATCCAATAGGGTGGCTGGATTCAGTGATGCACCCTGCAATTCCAGCACTTGGGAGGCTGAGGTAAGGGCATTGCGAGTGTGAGGCCAGCCTGGCTGTTCCATAGCTAGGCCCTGTCTCAAAACAGAAACAACCATCTAAAGAAGGGGGGAGATGTTTGCTACTGGCATCTAGTGGCGGAGCCAGGAATGCTGCTGAACACCTTCTAAAACAAAGGCTGCCCTTGCCTCAGAAAGCCAGGAGGCCTCCGACACAACCCTGGGCCCAGCTGGGGGAATGATTTAATCCAGGGAACCACAAGGCTCGACAGGTCTCTAGAGGCGAGGGATCTATGAAGAGGCCATGCCCTCAATAAATGGCACTGTAGGCTTGGTAGCCGTCTGCTCTCCCACCATGCCTACAGGCTGACGATCATCTCGGCTCAGATCCTCACCCCACTCCCTTCTATCAGTATGCTCTGACACCCTTAGGACCCAAGAGCCTGAAAGTGTCACCTGACAAAAGAGGCCACAGGGAAGCACAGACTGCCGTATTGCTACTGCTGTGTCCATACCTGCATCCACGTCATTGGGCCATCCACTAGACTGGCTGCTGCCAGCTGCTGGGGAGCGGCCTGTCCCAGGATAGAACACGTCATCAACTGGGCTCTCCATCTCACTGTCATCGATGGACTTGGGGCGCTTGGTGGTGCTGAAGAGGAAGAAGCAAGTCAAGTGGGCCAAAGTTCCAGGCCCCCAGTTCCTGGAGTAGAAACACCTCCAGACCTGCTCTCCCTCGGGCTGCCATCAAAGAACAGACAAAACACCTTCATCTGCCTTCTACACCCCGCCCACTATTTCCTATCAGCTCTCAGCTGTGCCATGGAACTCAGTCATTAAAGACTGTTTTAAGTCAAGGTGGTGGCTCACATCTGTAATCCTAGTACTCAGAAGGCTGACACAGGGGGACTACAGTGAATTACAGGTCAGCTAGTTGAGCCTGTCTCAAAAAGAAACAAAGATAAGTAAATTAATTTTTAAAATTCTAATGCAAGACTAAAAGCAAACAGCAAAGGCTGGAGAGGTGGAGAGGTGGCTCAGGTGTTGAGAGCATGTGCTGCTCTTGCAGAGAGCCTGGGTTTCCCCAGGACTCAGTCCAAAGCCTCTAGCAACATGCAAATACCTGTACCAGGCATGTGGCGGTACACACCTTTAGTCCCAGCACTCGGGACACAGAGGCAGGTGGATCTCTGAGTTTGAGGCCAGCCTGTCTACAAAGTTCCAGGACAGCCTCAGCACACAGAGAAACCCTGTCTTGAAAAGGCAAGCAAAAAAATAAAAATAAAAATAAAAATAAAAAAGTGAACAAAAAAGTTTTCTGGCTAAAAAGGAAAGACTCAACCTCCCCATGCAGAACTCTGGCTCTGACTTCAGGCTTTCTCTCCCAGGCATCTCTCTTTTCTGCAAACTGTGCTCTCCGTCCAGGCCTTCCTATGTTCCATCCTGGAACAGTGGCTTAGCTGCTGTCAGCTCCACCCACAAACGGTGTGGCCGCAGGGAGCGTTCTGGAACAGGCATCTCATCAGACCCTCTAGTGGTTCCCACTCCCCTAAATGAGTTCAAGGGTCTTCTGGTCTCTAAAGTACTCTGTGGGGATAATCCTGACAACGTGTCCAATTCTGACTGAGAGGGAGGCTACCTGGAGTCTCCAGGTAGATTCTTCCTACCAGCTCCCTGTGTCTCTGGGCTCAAGCGCCATCTCTACAAGACACGCCTCCTCTGAGACTCCCATCCAGGCAGGCTCGTGTGCCATCTTATGGGTTATGTTTATGATTGAGTGTTCCATGATAGCATAAAGCAGGAGGCTCAGAGAATGGCTGTTCATGTGACATGCTGGAGTACCACAGCTGCTGAAGCCATGGGAAGATGACAAGGCCATAGTCCATGCTCACCTGGTGGAAGGAGGGGAGGTGATGGACCGCCGTCCCAGGGTCACTTGATTTATGTTGTAGTAACTGGGGCTCTCCAGGTCTGCCAGTGAGAAGTTGGGTCCTGATGCAGTTGCAACAGGAGCTAGAAGACAAAGAGGTTGGTGAGACTAGAATCTGCTCTTGTGGACCCTACGGGCCGGTAGGTTACCATTAGCCTCTTCCTAGAAGCCCAGGAAGAGCTCCCTGTGATGTCTAGGCTGCTGGGAAGAAGAACCCTTTTCTGGGTGAGATTTCCTGGTTGGGTGTAAGGGAAGAATCTTTGATTGAGGGTTCCCTGCCCTCCACAGCAGAGGTTAGAGACAGGATTCTCTGGGCAACTGCTCCTCCCAGCTCAGGACCAAAGGGACAGAAAGTCTCCAAAATATCATCAACACAGCCCTGTGAGATCTGAAAATCACCTTTGCACCCTAGTCCTGGTCCCTGGCCCTGAGAAGACACCACTTACTCTGTGATACTCTCACCAGCTCTGTCACATTCCAGACCCCGGACGTCACAAAGCAGTCCTGGAAACTTAAGTGCCCTAAAGAAAGAAAATGGCTGGTGAGTGGAGGCAGACCATGATGAGGTGCCTACCTATTTCCCCAGAGTTCTCCCCCTGCTCAACTCTGACCCTTCAAGGCTTTCCCACTATCCCTCAGATGTCCACCCAAAAGGGGGACACACCAGGGAAACCTCCCTCCTTGGATGGCACCCCAAGTCAGTCGACGGCTGAGTAAAGGGAAGGAGAATGGGGTGGACACTGACCGTTGGGCAGTGGTTTGATGTCTGCATCTCCTTGCTGGTTTGAACTATCTGATTGTCCGGATTCTGCAGGAGAAACAAACGGGAGAAAGGGTCAGAAGAAAGGTTTTATACAACTTCTGACCAAACCAGCACCCTCCAGCCTTGGGCCCCGGCCCCCAAGCAGTAGACTCTGTTCGCCCAGGCTCCAGGGCTAGCCCAAGGGGATGGGGGAAACGATGACAGTAAACACTTCACCCAACATTTGGGCTGGATTGGTCACTGTGGCCGGGGGAGAGGCATCCTGGCCAGAGTGTGCAGCGGCAATCTCTGGCCTCTGCCCAAAGATGCTAATAGCACCTTCATTGTGACAACCCAAACTACCTCCAGAAACTGCTCAATGAGCCTGAGGGACAGAGTTGCCATGGATAGATAGATAACACTGACCAAGAGTCTGAAGTCAGGAGGAAGAAGACAGTGATGGGCACTGTCCGTAACAGGGCAGACCTCCAGGGCCCTCCCTCTCCCAGAGGGGCATTCCCATCCCTAAGTTCATTAATGAATGCTGTTCCCGTGGGCTCATGCCCCTCTACCTCACCTTTATGCTTACAGCCAATGCCTGGCAACCCAGAGGGGGGAGGTGTGCCCTAGCTGCCACCCATTCTGTGCCAGCCTGTCTGGGCTGTCTCATGCCCCACTGCCACAGCTGCTCAGAGGGAGCCCTGAGACAAGGGCCTATTGTGTGGCAGAAGCTCACAGAGGGCTGGGGGCAGGGTGGAGTGTGTGTGTGAATATTTTTCAGAGCTTGAGAAAGCCCCCCCCCCCCCCCCCCCCCCAGGTCCTCCAAAGCTTTGTGCGTGCCAGGGGCAAGATGGGGACCTCCAGAGTGCCTGCCTGGGCATGACAGCTGGTGAGAGGGTGGGGTGCTGGGGTAGGCTGTAGAGCACTTGGTGAAGACTCAGCTATTCATAAGGACCACAGGGGTGGCATCTGACACTGTGCCCTGGTTCTGGCCAAGGCTTTGCTGGGCTCTTCAGAGTGGCCCAGACACCCTAGCTGGGCCATTAGGCCATTCCCACAGTTCCATGCATAGCCTGCTGGTTCCTAGGTGGAGTTGGTGGGTCCTCCTCTAAGAGTCAAGGCCCTCTGCATCTGTGGCTGGGAATACTGTGCTCCTGGACTATCTCATGGTATGATAAGTAGGAGGCTGTCCCATTTGGGGACCCTGATCTTTTCTTTCATCTTGTTCAGTTTTCCCCCCCCTCTCTTGTCAGCACTGGGGATTGAATTTAGGGCCTCATGCATGTAAGGGCAGAGCTCTACCACTAGGCTACAGCCCCAGTCCTTTTTCATGTATTTCTCAATTTTTAACCCCCCTCCCCAAAAGTAAGTCTTGCTATAAAATAAAAGGTAGAAGTTATGAGGAAAGTGTTCACAAGCCTTCCCCTCCAATGTGAGGTGCATCCTTCCAGGCCACTGTGGGCCAATCACCTCTTTGCTCGGCATTCTTTGCCATGGAGGGGGGCTTAGGGCCTTCTCCTACAATCTCTAGCTGACCTTACTAGACCCTGGTATCACACAGTATGGATTTTCTTCTTACTCTCTGGATCCTTGGGTCTGATGCAAGTCCAAGCCAGTCTAAGTCAGTCCAAACGGAAGCCAAGGGGTCTAGGTGGCAGGTAGTCTATGCTAGGGCCTTCTTGGAACCCCACTGTGAAGCTATCTCAGTATACTGAAGAAGGGCACAGCCTCAAGACGCCCATGCAGAGTCCATTAAAGGATACATGGCACACGCTCTGGTGCCTGCCGACGGCCATGAATTCCAGCCATCCTGGGACTGACACTGCCCCCAAAACCTCCTAGTCTGGGTCAGTTTGAGGGGATGCAGAGTCCACTCCATTGGAGCACAACTGGCCCACTGCAAAAAGCCAAAGAGAGAGAGCTGCGTGCCCGTGCGTGCGCGGGTGTGTGTGCGTGTGCGCGCACTCACATGCACGTGTGCACATCCAGCCAAAGACAGAAAAGAGTAAAGAACGTGACAAAGAGATGGAGGTGCGCCAGCGCCGGCGACTACGGCAGAGACAAATGGGGCTCCAGGAGAGCGCAACAGACAGGAAATCCTTTTAAACCAGGACACTTCCCAAAAGGGTGCTGCTGTTATTACTATTAGTTCACAGAAAGGGGCAAACAGGAGAAGCTGGGGAGGAAGAGGCCGGCTGCCACGCGCCACTAGGCGTGGCTCTGGGCGCTGCTGGCAGCCATTTTAGACCTTGGCAGCCATCTTATGGCTGGCGGCCTTAGCCAGCATTGCCACAATGCCGCCACCACCAGCCCCCAACAAGCTCAGCTCAGCTCCAGGACAAAAGGCAGAAACACTGAAGTCTGGATTTAGACTTGCAGGAAGAGGAGCCAGCCCTAGAGCCAGGGCAGCTGCAGCCAGGGTCCTGCAGGTCTGTACTAGCCTCAGCTTTTATGATCGCTGCCTGTGCCATGACAGGGCAGGGGGGATGAAGCCGGTGCCCGGGCAACACTAGCTTTGCTGAAAGGCAGCTGAAGCTCTGAGTACCATGTCTAGGCCCAAGGATCTACCAGTTGAGTAAGAATACCCTGCCAATAGGGCCGAGGGTATCTTGGAAGTAAAGGATGTCATCAGCTCAGGACACATCTTGGGTAGATACGAGATGAGGTTGGCAGGGAATTGGAGAGGCCACTGGGTCCTCAGTGGTCAGGCTCAGGGGCTAGCCAAGGGACATCCTGCCATCCAGAGATGGGAGCCAGCGGCCAGCTTTCCCATGTAGTGGGCTCTCTGGGATGTCTTAAAACAAAGTCTGTGCCTGTTCTGGACATCCCTAGGGACCGGCAGCTGGGCCCTAGGGCAGCATGCCACAGAGTGTCCAGGTACCCAGACTGCCTTTACTGCCTGGGACCCCTGGAGAAGGTTGTAACAGGACAGAGAGAGGGAAGGCCCTTTACAATAACCCCTCCCCTGGCCCCGCCTCATAGCTGCTTGGCTTTTATCTGGCAGAATGGGGCTTATCAGAGCCACCAGCTGAACAAACACACAAATCCACGGTTAGTGAGAAAAAATACTCTGCCTGAACTCTTTATCTCCTGTTCACAGGCCTTGCACACTGCCCACTGCCAAAAGCACAGGAGGGAACCTGAGGCGGTGCAGTGGGGGCCGAGTTCTCTGCTCTGGAGGTGGA